TATGCTCAAAATTTTAAGAAGGCGTAGCTTCTTATGCATATTTTACTTTTTGAGAATTGTACGAAAAGTATACGAGTAGTTTATTCCTTTTGTAATTAAAATAGAGATTTGCTGCTATGCGATTTAAATTACATTTTTATTTTACCTCACACTTTGCAGAAACTATAACTCAAATTCATTTATTTGTATGTTTAAAAGTATTCATAAAACAGTTTGTTTTTAAGTAGAATTTGTGGAGTTTGAAGGTAAATTCGAAATTATCCTCAAATATATCCAATGTGTATGTAGATCTTAATTTCAAATCTTAAAGCAAAAGTTTCAGTATTTAACTGACTTTTCAGAGAATTTCCTGAATAGAATATTTTCTATGTTAGTGAAATCAGTGTGTAATTCCTGTGTTAAAAAAATCTCCGTTTTCCCTCCACACAGTGAACATGGCCACAAGCAGGCTAATAGGTGCCGTGGCAGGCACGATTCTGGCCCTGGGGGTGATTTTTGGAGGCACAGGGTGGGGAATAGAGTAAGCATCTTTATGCGTTTCAGAGTGTTTCTGTTTGGTGCCTGGTGTGTGAGGTGACCCTTGGTATCGGACTCCTTTATGTATTGTCTCACTGACTGTGTTCCCTGTGGTAGTGCCGCTTGTGGTGCGATTTGTCTGTGTTTGTGTCTTGTGGTTTTCTCGTGCAGTGTAGAACCTTCTCCTGTCTGGAACAATGTGGGGCATAAAATAATGTTGGGGGTTCTTACTATATCTTCACAATTGAGGCAATGGTCCAAAAGTTTCTATTGCTCCTCCATTTATAAAAGTAATTTTAAAATATACACCCTCTCCTCACTTATTGACATGGTTAGGTTCCAAAGACCAGGTCATTATGTGAAATCAGCGTTATATGAAAATGGAGGATGACTACCTCATTGTACAACTGCCAAGTTACATCGTTACATAACTATCAAACCACTGAGAATCGTGGCCCAGCCAAGATGACACATAACCTGAATCATCACAGCCAGCGTTACTCTCGCCTCACACCTTGGCATTTGTTACTGCCAGATATACGTCGTTAATGCACAGAGTAGTCAGATAGTAGATTTTTTACTATCGTCATAAATGTGAAATGTCAGATAATGAGATAGTCGATAAGTGAGGAGAAGGTGTAGTTTTTTTTTTTTTTACTGCTTATTAGCAAAAATGCTTTTATGTGAGCATTTTATTTGGATGCTTATACTGAATTTAATCTTCACCCAGTCAAGTAGATCCACATATGCAGGCAGGAATTATAAACAGCTGAAATGTCTTTTAAAGATAATCTAAATGGCAGCCACTAATATTTTCTCAGTTTTTTCAGTCATATAGGAGGCTATGAGCTAATTGGTAAAAAAAGAATGAATAGGGTACTGCCTTCATTTTTTACTATAAAACAGATTCATATTTTAAGTGTGAAGTTTGTGTAAATATTTGGGAGCTAGCACAATTAGAAACAGAAAGCCTATACAGCCTTAAGTGAATATTTGGAAGTTATCTGTTGGATTTGTCTTAAAAATACCTAGGGCATTAATAAATATTTTACGTCACTTTCCCATTCCACTGTCACGAGGTCCATCTCTCCTGATGCCTTTATTAGGGTTGCTGTGTACTTAGTCCAAATCCTCAGAGTACCTGTCAGTTCTCTGTGGGATACTGCTTTCTTGATATTGCTAATTTGTAGACTAAAAGATCATCATGATTTTTTCTAATTACAGAGAAAGCATTCACAAATGACAAAAATACCCCTTCACGTACCATCATTTCTGTTCGCTGTGATGATAGTAACACCTCGTGGTGGCCTAGGAATTAATTAATGGCATCTTAAGGAATCACCAGATGTCCTCTGTTCAAACAGGCCAAATCATGGGCATGTTGATAGTTTCAGACACGTTCCTCTTTAGTCATATCAATTGGGGCACACAGAGCCCTTTCTTACACAGTGGAATTGGGAGAACCACCACCAAAATAGCATTAAGAGGTGAGCCAATTTGTAGATCATATGTTGTGTTGCGGATTACTTGAGGCTTCTCTCCCCTGGATTGAAGGACTTTAACCAGATTTGGATCTTCTAACTCACATGCTATTGGTATGAACTGTGAAGCTAGTTAGCCCAGTGGAAGTTAGAATACTGGAAAAGGTATTTTGTTTATCTTTATTTATTACAAGATAGACTATGTAATGGGTAAATATTTAGAGAAAATAAGAAATTTGCCATTTAAATTTTCACCTTGGACCTGTTCACTGGATTATGTGGAGGAGTAACATTCCTTTTCCAAGGGAAATTCTATATGCACTTATGTGCAATTCCTTATTGAAGAAAAGTATTTTTCTAACAGTCATCCCAAATCAATTTCTTACATAATTTATGGATCATAATTATGGTGTCCTGATATGTACTAATTAAAGGGATGAATTTTAATAATCTTCCCTTAATTCTAGAGATAGGCAAAACCAAAAAGGCCTTTGTTGTAAAACATAGTCCTTGTGACCAGCATTTGTCTTCATCCATCCTCTCCAGTGTTGTTGGGTTTTGTGGCTATTTCTGGTTGTGACAGGTAAGTCCATGCAAAAATAGATGTTATTTGTTATTTTTTGGCTTATGCACTGTTTGTGTCTATTACTTCTTCAACTTCTAAATTTTGCCATAATTCCTAAAAAAGTAAATGTAGTTTTTAAAAATAAAATTAACATGGTAAAATATAGATTGTTTTCAGACTTTCTAATTTAACTCACAGCATGATGTTCATTTAGTTAATCAGGATTCCGTGAGTAGAGGTTTTTTTGTTTTGTTTTGTTTTTTCTTCTATTCCTTAATTTAGAATTATCGTAGATCAGGAATTCTCTCTAATCTCCACCCAGGCTTTTTAAGCTAGTATAATATAAATCATGTCTAAAGCATAAAGTACAAAGATGGTTTTAAAAAAAAGTTATTTTTAAAAGTTTCTTTTAAAATTTGATTTCCTGTTAAAATATGGGGAGGAAATACATGTAAACGGAGTAACTTTTCATTTGAGCAGGAGTTAGCAAACTTTGAAAGGTCAGATAATAAATATTTTTGACTTTGCACTGTTGTAGCATGAAACGAGCCATAAACAATACAGAAACGAGTGAGGGCTGTGTTCCAAAGACAGGTGACAGGCCAGATTTGGCCCATGGGCTGTAGATTTAGAGCATACGTTTTAGAGTCAGACAAACCTGTGTTCAAATCTTGCCTCCGTCACTTGCTAACTTCTAGAAGCCTCTGTGTTCTCATCTGTTAAACAGAAATAGTCATAGTTCCTACTTCTTATGGTTTTTGTGAGGATCAAATGAGATAATACATGCCAAGTGCTTAGAACCGTACCTGGCACACAGTGAATGCTCAATATATAGCCTTAAACTGCTTTTAAGGAGCCCTGGTGGAGCAGTGGTTAAGCACAAGGCTGCTAACCAAAAGGTTGGCAGTTCGAACCCACGCAGTGGCTCCATGCCAGAAATGCCTGGCAGTTTGCTCCCATAAGGATTACAGGCAAGATAACTCTATGGGGCAGTTCTACTCTGTCACATGAGGTTGCTATGAGTCGGAATCGACTTGATGGCACCTAACAACAATGAACTACCTTTATTGCTCTCATTCTTCTTTATTATTATTTATGTATCTCTGAAGGCCACTGAGATTTGTATTCTGTGGAACCTCGGTTGTTCGTCTTAATAGCGTGTCACAAGCCCAGGAGCCCAAAGAGACCAGCATCCACCTGAGACTCCCACTGCAGTTTCCTCCACCTGTCCACTCACGCCCACAAGCACTGGGTGGTCACTTTGTGTAAAAACAATTTTAGTGCTACCGAAAGCGGCATCCATTTATGTACACAGTTGAGGGCACTGATGTGAGCAGAAAAGAGAATTTTCTACATAGAAATGAATGTATACACAAAGTTAAGAGGATTTTAGAGGAACCAGCAAAATTGGCCATGTGACTTCTGGAGCAGGAATACATAGTTAGGACTGGAAGTTTTTTGCTGTTAGGGAGCACTGAAACTGCATATTGGTATCCTGAGGGATATGACATTTAAAAGAATTCATGTACTAAATGTAACTTTGCTTAGATTTAAAAAGTGCTGAGCTACAGTGTTTCCCATACGAGTGGAGAGGAGTTACTGTATATACATCAGGCTTATTCAGACAACTGATAGAAACTCCACCTTGTGTTTTTGTATTTTCTTTCTTGCTGTTTTTCCTGCTCCCTTCGTTTTTTATGTCTCTCAGCCTCATATCTCTCAGTAGTAAATGGGAACTTGAACAACATTCTCAACTGAACCTAAGGAGCCTATGATCCATTTCCCAAAAATCACCCAAATCAGGTTTATGCTTCTTTTATACCTTTCTTTTCATAGCCCACTTTGCTGTTTAACTCTGTAGGGACCATGAAGAAGTATGTCTGAGAGAGAAAGAACATGGCTTCGGGGTCAGATCTTTACTGATAACCTCCTTCTGACTTCTAAATTTTATCTGACTCCAAGTGGGGGATAGGAACGTTAATATTCAGGCAACTTAATGTCCTACTTGAAAGAGCACTTGAGTAGAATACTTTTCCTTCTTTCCATGTCCTTACTTGTTAGTTGGATTGAAGAAATTCTAATGCAGTCGTATTCTTTATGTGTTTTTGTTTGATTTGTGATATTGGGAAAGGGGGAGAAAAAGAAAGATATGTAACAACAGCAATTTGAGCATATTGGCTTCAAATTCTGTGAAAGGTGAATTTGATGGAACTTAATCAACAGTGGAACAGAAACTTTTGATTTGAAGGAACACATATCAAAGCAACAGTTAGCCATAGCATCTAAAATGCAATTAAGCTAAGTAAATAAAGGCCATTTAAGTGTTTAGAGCTCTTTTACACAGGCTATTTACTTCCTGAAACCACTAACTGCCTTTCCCTTGTGATAACTAAATTGGTTGGCTCATATGACTTTCTTCCCATGATCCTTTGTCACAGGTCCTAGTGCCACCAATCTCATAATAGGCTCCATCGCTGGTGCCATCCTGGTAGCAGCTATTGTCCTTGGGGGCACAGGATGGGGATTTAAGTAAGCAATGCCGCATGTCTTCTTCTCAGTGGCTCTGGCACTTCTCTTTTCTGCTTACATAAACAAGTTTTGAGTTCCTGCTATAAGATTTCAAGTTTTAAAAGTAAAAATGCTAAAAATAAAGATTTTTGTTCAGAAATGGGTTAAAAAGAAGAAACATGAAGCCCCAAGTGTCATCTTTAGTCAAGTGGGAAAACATGAAGCATATAAGGAATCCACATTCACCACTTTAAGGAGAACATAGTAGAAGTTCTTCAGTAGAAGACATTCGAGCTTTCAGGAGCAAAGTTCTTTGATACATTCCTTTATAAACAGATAATTGAAGACACTATGTAGTTGGAAATAAGTGATTATAAAGTGATTGTTTCTCTTTAAAACTGATTTATATTCCATTGATATACTCTATTTTGGAAATTTCGCAATCTACATAGCCATTGTTCATTATTTTTCACATGTAACATTATTTGCAGCTTTGTGATTTGAAAAGCTTCATTATTTTATAACAACAGAGTTTTTAAAAGTATTTTCATTAATTCCCTAGCTAACTGAATTGGTATTTGAAACCCATGGCTTCGTGACACTTAATATTTTCTGACTTCTAATATTGACATGACTGGTCGGTTTGGTGTGTTTTCATAATCACCTTTTAGTTTGGATTTAACAGTAATCACTTAACCTTAGTTTCTTTAAATATACAAGCTGGATAGATAATCACAAAGAGTCCTTAATTATAGTCACAATTTTTAGACCTGATTTATCCAGTTTAGATGTTTCTACATCTCAGATTCATTGGATAATTGCTTTTTACACATTTTTATGCAGTGGCAACTTGACTATTATGATTTGTAGATAACACCTCCTGTGCCAGATATTCCCTGTGATAGACTAAATTTCAGCCAGATCTATAGAAACAAATCTAGTGGAAAGTAACATTTTTAGCCAAATTCAAAACCCACCTTGCCTCCAGTTCGTTACTCAATAGAGGCAGCTTTTGACCTGAGTTATCTAAAGAATTGCCTTAACTATGAACTTTGTTATATTTTATATTTGGAATCCTGAATTCAATGTATATTAAACTAGCTAAAATATTATTATGAAAAACAAAAAGATGATTTAAATAAATGTAGCATTTCCTGATAATTTTGTTATCATATTAAGATTTAATGAGGAAGCCTACAGTTTTTGAAAAGTGACTTTGGCTTGGAAAGCTGCTATCAGATGGTGCTTCTTTTCAACAGGAGATATTTATAAACTTGAACTTGTTTAGTGAAACAATTTTGGCATCAGTGTGTTTTAAAAAAAAAGTGCACACAGAATGTGCAACTCACATTTGAATTCCTTGCCATGGTATTAACAAGACATCACGCAGATCATTAATGCACCTAATAAAAAAGTATATTTTTGTTTGGGCTAGCCTGATATAAGCACAACCTCTTTTAGTGCTCCACTACTATAGAAAAGTCACTGTACATTATAAGAGTTCCACACCCTGTTACCACTTTATCATAATGCCCCTTCGAACTTTTTTCATAAATATGCCTCTAGAAAAATTAATTTGGTTCTTACCTAGGCTTGTGCTTACTTAGCATTAGGATGCTTCCATTTAGAGGCCCAGAAAACCATCTACTATGCACCTTTGCCATCCAGCCACATGCAATACCGAATTTGCCATTTCCAAGTTTGGAGATAAGAGCACTTTTCTGTAGCAGGACCTCAAAACAGTGGCCTGGCCTAGCTCACAGCTTGAACTGCATGTTTCTTTGGGGAAAAATGGAAAAGCCTTTATCACTGTGTATATAAGTGGATTAGGCCCTGTACAGATTATTTATGTGCGAGAGAGATGTCTGACCATCAAAATAGCGGCAAAAAATAAAGAGGTGAGACCGACACATTGTGAGGTGAGAAACAGCCTTACTGATGCTGTGTGTGGATTGCTGTGTAGGCACACATACTGTGAAGCCAAATCGAAACTCCTTCCCGTGCCTGTGACCCTCATAAATACTTTACAGGAAAACATGCTAGAAAGGCACAATAGCAGTGTGAAATAAATATTTTCATGCCCCAAAGCAAGGAAAAAAACAAGGACTAAGAATAATTATTGAACGTTTAACTTGAGGGGTTTACATTTGGAGAAGCTGTTGCTTTTTGTGTTGGCCATTGATTGCTACGTGAGGATCTTAATTTGCTTTGAAATTTAATAGTAGTTATGTAGTTTTATTAAACTTCAGATGACGGCCTTACAATAAAACACTTTGGGTATTGAAGGAGAGGGTTTAGGATTTTCCACTACTTTGATAATTTTGAAGATTATTAGCCTAAAGATGGTTTGGAAGTATAATTATTTGCTATTTGAAAACCTTTGAATTTTTCATTGAGTTCAGTGTAAATAAAGAAGAGGTTCCTTTAGAATCAGAAGTTGGCAGGTATAGATTACTAAGTAAGCACAATTAAGCCCGTGCATACCTTGCTTACTGTAAACCGGTGCATACCATCCTTAATGGTTAATCCACCCCTAGAAGATGGAAATAGTTCATTTAAAAAAGCTTGGTCAAAACATGGCTATTGGAAATCCTCCTGAAATCAGGTTTTCATTACTAAAAGAAATTAGTAAAGTGGCCTGAGGAAGTTGAAGGTACGTAAACTTTTAAATTAAAGGGAAATCTATTACATGCTCAGGTAAAGTATTGCTGTTTTCTAACATCACATTTTTTTAGAAGGTGTAACACTGGGTAATTTAGATGTGGAAGAAGTATCATACCATAGATGAGCTGTTCACGTACAAATGAGAAATACAGCTGTGCCCTGAGCCCTGACATTCTCTGAGATTATTTATGTTTTTAAAAACCATATTTCCTTCCAAATAGGTAGTAAAAGGATGAGTGTATGTCAGTGTGCATGCGCACACGTTTGTGTATATACAGTGGTTTATCAAAATCATTGCGGTCTAAAAATAATACAGTTTTAGATTACTTTTTTCAGTAGTATAGTGAAGTCTGAACGCTTTGGTACATGCAAACAAGAATTCCACGTGCTAGGTTATAGATTCTTGAAAAGAAAAAAAAAAAGAAAGAAAAACATTGTTTGGTGGATTTTTTCTAATATACTTTGACATATTGTGTAACGTGGCAGGTACACCTGAGTAGCTTTGGTTAAATAACTCCATACTTCAGGAGTATGAGGATGCTAAGGGATGATCTAGTCTGTGAGTTCCCAGGTCTTCAGGGTTTTAGGATTTTCTTTGAGAGATCTTGTGAAAAAGGAACACAGGCACTTGGCCCACCAGTTTGTCCGAGCTTTTCCCCCATCTGCATTTACTTCCCCACACCTGTGCTCTTTCTCCTCTCCATCACCTGTGCACACAGACTGAAACTATGACTTGTGGTGCAGAGGATTGCAAACCTGTGTCCTAGTTGACTCATAGAGATGCATGGCGCCTACCCCATGTTGAATAATAATGCTGCTCAATTAGATTACCAGAGCTGTTGTTTTCACTGTACGTTGGAAAAGAAATTGAATAGCTGAAGGATCATTTTAGCAGCATCTTCTCTAAAGCTCAGGAAAGGTTAAAAGTATAACAGATTAAGCCATAGGGGATGGTGGTAGGAAAGAGTCATTAGTTTGCTGACCAATTTAAATCACAAGGATTCCAGGGCAAATATTGAGCTCTAGTATATGTCTCAGTCTGGGGAACCCCATCACCATGTCCCACAACCTGTTCTCTCCCTGGGATTCAGTGGCCAAGTGGTTTTCCACCACGGCCAGTAGTGGCCATAGTAAAAGTGCTCATGACATTAAAGATGGTTGATTTGAGGAGTCTGTTTAATTGTCATATGTGGTTTCCTGTCTCTGGGAAGTTCCTCGGGTCACAAATTTATACAGAGCCTAATTTTGGCTCTAAGAAATTCTATTTGACCTATGTTACATTTCGTTGGACATGCCAAAGAAAGACTGTTCACATACTCACATAAAATGACATGTAGAGGAGTATATTTTGATGAAATTTTAAAAAGGTCTTAGTATCAATAATTATATTTTCTCAAAAGATTAATTTTTTAAAAAATTTTTATTTTTTACAGAATTAGAAAATGGAATCAATTTTAGCTATTCTTTCCATGAGGGGGGCAACCAGACTGTTGCTTATCTGAATTCCATGACCATATCCCAGTGCAAAATAAATGAGCCCTAGTATCTGCCACTTCTTGGTTAGGCACTTTCTCATTCAGACCTGAGCAGGTGGGGGTGGTACCAGGCTGGCTAGGAAGAGTCAATACAGCTCTCTGACTTGGCCCTCCTGAAAGGCGAGGGATTCTGAATCTGGTCAGTTTCTGTGGTTCTGGGTAGAGGGCAGTGGTTGCTCAGGGTGCAAAGATCAGAGAGTGATAGTGGTGGAGCAATATATACCACTGAAAGAAGACTGAAAAGCTTTACATCTGTGAGCTGGCTATTGTTATGTGGAGTTTTGTTTTAATTTTGTATAGATTATATATGTATAATATATATTGTAGGCACAAGTATAGATTTTTCAGAAGTAGTAAAAATGGATGAAAAATGTATCAATGATAGGTTTATGGATTACACTAATATTTTATAATGATCCAGAAATATCTTACAGGTTGTAATGAGAAAGTTTAATGCCTTCAGAATTCTAATGAACAGAGGGTATTCAAATTCAGAGGAAACAGTTGCAGAAGGAAGACAGCAAGTACCTACTCACAATAGTTGTACTTTCATGTTAAAATTGACCAACCAACAAAAAAAGTTTATATGGAAAATTCAGGCCAGGCAATTCTCAACATATAGTGGCCCACAGCTGTTTTACCATTTATACAGGAGGAGCCCTCACAATGAGCACTGCCACAGGAGTGCCCTTCTCTGTCCTCCTTACTGGGCTCTGCCTCCCTTTATGACAGCACGCCTTCTCCCTGCTGGGACTTCAGTGGAGGAGAATGTTCCTGGAATCTCCTGTTGGTATTCAGAGTCTGTATTCACATGGAAATATGTAGTTCTGCAGTGTAACAGCCTTCTGGGCTGACCTGGGAACCTAGTCACCCTGTAGAACATTGTTTGTATAAAAAGTGCAAGCTAAGCTTCGAAAACCAACTTTTTAAAAGGGGCAGACGCTTTTGAGAGCCTGAAGTTGCCAATATATGAGGCTGGAATGGAGTTTTGTATCTCTATTTAAAAATGAACAGGATTGCCATTATTAACTTGGACTTGGCTATTCATCTGGCATTCCTTAAATTTGAATAAAGGAGTTTAGATATGGGCAATATAGTCATCTACATGCACAGCGCTAGCTTGGTTTGCTTTTCCCTGTATATTTGTATTAACTGAGCAAACATTAATTTGCCATTTCTCTTGAGTTCCAGCAATATGTAGCTAAAAAAGGTTGGGGCCTCTACTCTTTCAGGGTCATCTCACAAGATCAGGTTTTTCTTACCTGATTCACAAGGGAGAAGTGTGGTTCCTTATACATCTGCCTTCAAGGGGCTTGAGCATGGATCGCAGACGCTACGCTCCATGTCAGCCAACTCAGTGAAGGATACATTATGGGGGATCTTCCCTTTTGATCTCACCTATGTTTCCTGGGAAGCATCAGCAATGCCTATTTTCAAGAATATTGATTCAAAGAGGGGTGGGTTGGAAGAGTGAAGCAAAAGAAATTGCACTGCTGCAAACAGTGTTTGCAGCACTAATTACCTGCCAGGCCAGTGAATCACATGCTTAGGTCATTAATGAAGCTGTTTAATGAAGATTTTTAAAAAGAAAAGAGAGGTCTTTAAAGATTTTCATATTTGATATTTCAAGAGAGAAGAGTTAAAGTGGTCATCCTGGGAAAAATAAGGACTTTGCAGTATTTTGTGTTTTGGGATTATTTTTATTTTGAATTACCTAAGGGGGAGGCGGAATCTACTGTAATCTTTTTGGTACTTAGGGCCTGTAAGGGTATCAAACTGGCCCTGAGCGAGTGGGCAGGGGAATGAGGGATCTTGGGGACTCCTGGGTCTCCAGTTTTGCATGATGCCTCCGTGACAGCAGCGTTGCACATGCCCAGTATGCAGACTAAGTGCATGAGCCCTTTGCTTGATGCCCCACATGAAGCCAGACCATGGGGAGGTTGCAACCAACTTTTGTTGTTGCCTTGTAGTGTCTTGCTGGTTCTTTCTTTTCTCTTTTCAAACATAGAAACCACTTTTTAGGAGACTGGACACTGTGAGCAAGGCATTTTAACTTGCTTATTTTCAACTAAGCTAAACTGCTGCATTTGCTTAACTAACCCAAGCCTGTGTCCATTCTCCTTTGAGTATACTGTCTTACCATGCACTCTGTTCTCCAACTTTCTAGATATGAAAAATGCTTGGCTCCATAGTAGGGTAAGAGCTCGTACACTCAAGGCAGCAAGATAACTGAATAGAGCAAGGCTCTTTTGCCACACTGGCAAAAGCACATCAACTGCTCCAGAACTCTGGAGTCCTGGAGGGCAATGGCTTATGAGACCTTAGAGTTTTTTTTTTTAGTTCTCCTGATAGTCCCCTCAGTGGAAGAGTTCTCTGTATAATAATGTTCATCTAGTTGATTAGCAATGCCATTTACTTTGGAAATAAGACATGAATTGGGCCACTGAGGCTTCCTATGATTTAAAATAAACAACGTAAAGCTTCTTTGGCCTTCACAATTGGACATACTCTAGTGGTTATGTTGTAAAGACATTCAAAAGTATCAGCTATTCTGTGTTTCAGGTTACTTTGGAAAGTCTGCCTTGGTGTGAGCTGATTACTTGACTCTGGAACTAGCATTATTTTCATGATCATCACCCTTTTCTCATCATGATCTCATTAATATTGTGAATTTCTCCCCCTCTGCTTGTATCTTCTTTGACATACTCTGGAAGAAATGTCAAGAAGAGGAGGTTTGATCCTACCCAGCAAGGCCCCATCTGAAACACCTGCACTGGATGAACTTCACCTTGCGCTGTTGGATTGTGGGTCTGACACACCTACGGCAGCATGGCCAGGACTACTAAGTCTGTAAACAAGAACACTGGGCTGTAAAGACTACAGAGCTAAGGTTGGGGTGGCAGGGATGGGGTAAAAGAAAACTGTCCTTTTTGGAGATAATTTCAAAGAACTCCTCCCATCATCTGTCCATAAAAGGGGGGGGGGAGCAAAAGACAATGTTATAAATTTTAAAAAAAGTTTCAAAATCTTTTTTTTTTCCTAACTAAAGGAAGAAGGAAAAACAAAACAACAAAAAAATTAAGTGCAATAAAAGAACCATTAAAAAATAGCAAATGATTTTTTTGTCCCTCAGCCTGCTGGCACTTAATATCTTCTAAATGATTTGGCATGATTTTTTTTTTCTTTTCCTACCTATGACAAACTCCAGTGGCATGAAGATCTAATTTTCAAAAGGGTAAAAACTGCATGGCATATACACAACAAGCTAGCAAGCCAATCCTCAGCAAACCTGCAACTGAATTCCTAAGGTGAAGATGACAGATGGACACACACAGCTGGCCTGGGCCTCTTCACATAAAGTCCTGCCCCGACCCCCACTAAGCAGGCCGTGTGTAACTCCAAGGGGTCTGCACTTGTTGATTCACTTACCCCATTGTTCTTTCTCCTGGACCTAGCATCCTTTGGAAATGGGAACTGGAATTTGGACAATGATGCTATTGTATAGTTGTTTTATAAATGTACATATGGAAATAAGAGATTTTGACACATCATTTTCACTTGTCTGTATTGAAATATTTTTCTTGTAAAGGTTCTCTGTAAATTTGAGTTTATCATTTGCTCCTCATTTTTTGTTTCTTTTCTCTTTCTCTTTCTTTATCTTTTCTGTCTCTGTCCTCTCTTGTAACATGCTGTACGATGATTGTTGGGCTTGCTTAAAAAGACAGACGTCACCACAGATGCAGGGAGTTTGGGCACAACGCAGGTGCAATTTAAAGTTGGTATGCTTGAAACCAAAAATAAACAAAAGGGGGGGGACACAAACAAAAAATACCCATATTAAAAACACAAAAATTATGTAAATGCAAATATATGTAACAACAAGTCTACAATTTTTTTTGATGTCACTATAAACGTATGTATATAATGTAAGAAAGTAGACACCCTCTCAAATTAATCACAAAAGTGCCAAGCTCATGATTTTAGTTTTGGTTTTGACAACTTTTTTTCCCTATCTTTAATGTGAAAGGAGTATAAACTTAAAGCCTTAAATAAAAGAATAAATAATTTTTAAGTGTTGAAAGCTTGGAAAAAGTTAAGCTTTCCATTTTGTTTGTATCTATTATTGTCAATATTTCATTCATGCTTCATCTTCCTGCCTCAAAGTATATATGGTAGAACCCCATTGTAAAACTGCTAATGAGGACAACAGTGGCAAATTCATTACCTTCTTATCAACATTGTTATAAAAGGCTATTAGTCTGTGTAGGAGCTCTGGTGGTACAGTGGTTAAGAGCTTGGCTGCTAATCAAAAGGTCAGCGGTTCAAACCTACCAGCCGCGCCATAGGAGAAAGATGTGGCAGTCTGCTCCCATAAAGATTACAGCCTTGGAAACCCTATGGGGCAATTCTATTCTGTCCTATAGGGTCGCTATGAGTTGGAATTGACTCGATGGCAACGTGTTTAATCTGTGTGTACTTTCAAGAAACTCTGTTTGACCCACAGTGTTTGTTGATCCTCGAATGCTGAACTGGGTTATGATGGGATCCTACCATATACAAATTCACGTTCTTCTTTTCCCTCCAGGCAGATTTGCACCTGTAGTCTGGGTTTCCAAGTCCCTCTGAGTTTCCTTCACTTTCAAAGTTCTTCCACTTATGGTCAAGGTAGCTTTCCATTCAAGTGAAGGAATGTGGATCCAGCTTTGTTCTAGAATGTACAACTTGTACATGATCACTTCAGTGAGCATCCATCTCATGTAGCAAAGAGATGAGCTTTACTAAAGGCCCCCAAGGAGCCCACACTTCTCTAACATCCTCTTTTGGAACAGGACATGCAATTGTACTATTCACTTCCTCATGACACAGAATCAGTTGCTAGCTTTAGCTGTAAGTCCCTTTTCCTCAAGATTCATGACACCAATCTCACAACTTTTTCTTTGATTTTGGGAAGGATTCTCTCCTAAAGATGCACTGCTTAAAAGAGTGGGTTTTTTTTTCCAAGATATCTTTGATTGTGAAAGTATCACAATCATACAGCGGAAACCTTAATTTCTATATGCTACAATAACCATAACCTAACATCGCGATCCTGCTATTGCTTTCTGAGTAATAGGTGCTACACAAGTATGCAGTCTTTCTCTAGAACTAGCTATATGTTTATATTGTAATAACAGGGCTATCTACAGAGTTTATTAGCCTTACTCAGGGCTTCATAAGACACAGGTTATATCTCTCTACTTGGTGGCAATGGCTTTTTCACCTTGGGGGAAACTTGGAGGAAACTCAGATTACTTGGCATCTCTTCCTGTTGCTGAATTGCTTAGTGTCTTCCTGTTGCCGTGTTCTACTCAGTAGTAGATACTAAGCTGCTGCTAAGTACACCATATACATTTCACTACTATTCCAAAGGCAGCATGGTAACTTAATAGAAAAAGAAACCCTTGGTGGTTACAAAACAAGTTAAATCTCTATTGTTAACTTTTGAGCATTTCACAAACAACATTGTAAATGTGCGATGTTATGTTTTAAATCAGACCACAGTGGTCCCCAAATATTATGTACATATGGCAAATGTCAGTGTAACTTTTTGTTACACTGGCAGTTTCATAGGTAACCAAACCTATGCTCCAATGTTAAATTATTTGTTTGTATATGTAAAATACACGAGCTTTAAGCGATGTGTGTATGAATATGAAAGATAATGCAACCATATAAATCGTAAACAGTGGATTATAATTCTTTTGGGTGGTATTTGGTTATGTAGTTCCAAACTCTTCGCTGTATTTTTTTTTCTTGCACATGCCATTCATTTGCTGAGTTTTGTGGTGTGAACACTCCTTTTTATTAACTTGAGCTCAAAGCACAAGCATATCACTGTTCAATGTTACCCAACAAGAGTTAATGTTAAGTGATGACAAGTTCCCATTTCACCCACTATACGTTTGCTGCGTTAATTAATGACTCGTGGACGAGGAGCTGTGCGCTAATTTCATTGCTCACCCTGGGATGCTGCATGAGCCCACTGAATTAGAGCTACTCCTACTAAATGAGCAGTACACATAGGTGCATGTTATAAAACATGAATCACATAGAGCTGTGGAGTTTGACCAAGTGGTGTGTGTGCGTGTATGTGTGTGTTTTGTTTTGCTTTTACTATGCAAAGATGGGAATTGCATAAACTTTTCAAAGACAAGTGTCTGAAGAACTTTACAAACAATACTTGAACCCTTTCTTTAATGGCATCCCATCATGTTTTGTAGTCCTTGTTGCTTCCATTGTTAATTTTCATTTTTGAATGGTTTGTAATTTTTTAAGTGCGCAACCTGAAGTTTTGTTTGAGGTTAATAAGTTCATTCATATCTTGTTGGCTGCCCATGAATGGAGATTCAGTAGTCATTGTATGCATCTTTTAGTCAAGTATGTATTAAAATTTCAGTTGACATAGAATGTTGTAGCTTTATACTTTGATCATTTTTCTTAAACCTTTTTTCTGTGTTCTCTTGCATTGTCGATTAAATGGCCATGTGCCGAGTTTTAGCACTGCTCTCTCAATCAAAGGTTCACTGAAAAGTTAAGCATTCAATGATGCAAAATAAAATCTCTGATTAATGATAAATGTATTCCTGATTAGGATTCAGTTTCATTGGAAGTGCTTTTTTTATAAATTAGGAAAAAAAGAAAGAAAGAACCCTAGGATAATACTGTTACCAATTTTTTTTTTTTAATTTAGTGTTCCTTTTCTGAGTTTAAAGAGGGCATGGCTAGTAATAACATCCACACTTTTGACTTGGCATCAAATTTACAAACTATAATGAAAACAGAGTTATCTGGTTATGAAAATTATATTATCAAAACCATTCAGGGAAGGTATTTCCTCACACCTCACATGGCATTGGTCAACAAATTATATTACTTCTACTTCAACATGTCTCTTCTCCATCCCCAATGCCAGTGCTTTGAGTCAGGCCTCAATAGCCGCATATACCTACTGCACCGGCACAAGAGAGTTCTTCAAAGATGCTGATCTGACCCCAACATTTCTTGGATGAAAGTCTTCAAGGGGCTCTTTATTTCCTATAGGATATGTCTTATATCCTGTAGGATAAGTCCAAACTTAATAACGTGACTTAAAAGTTATGCCTGCCTTTCATGACCTTACCCCTGTTTTTCTAGGCACATCAACTCTCATCCTGTCATAGTCACCAAACTTAAAGTTCCCTAAAAGGGCCTCTTCAACTCAAGCTTGAATTAGCTTATGTAAATTTTATGTCCAAGGAGCCCTGGTGGTGCAAAGGTTAAGCGCTCTGCTGGTAACCATATGGGGCAGTTTTACTCTGTCAAATAGGGTTGCTGTGAGTTGAAAATGGACTCCATGGCACCTGACAACAATAAATTTCATGTCCATTCACCGTAATTTGTTATTTGTTTCTATGTAATTTCATGTCATAAACAGAAAAACATTTTTAAAATAACATGAACAATATAGTAAAAATAAGGAAGTATTAGACTGCCATTTATATTTGACCTTGAAGGAATAATCGGATTTTTTTTTACATGTTTTGCTCTAAGTTATTCTGTTTTTGAGGTTGACATTGAAATGAGTTCTGCTCCATGCTCCCTGGGAAACGTGACCCAGAAATCAGAAACTCCTAAATAATAGAATAACATCAGCCCTAGAATTAAAAATGTAAATAGTTAAGTAGATAATCCATTTGTTCATGATGGAATTCATAAGCAACTTCTGAAATTTAAGATAGGTGGCCTTTAGGTCAATGTGCAAGGATTAGGGGCTTCCACTTATTAATTTATTCATTCAACAAATATTTATAAAACATGTCCTCTGTGCCAGGAATTCCTAAGAATTGAAGAAACAAAAGAAAATTCTTGACCTAAAGTTGCTCACAATTTAGTGGTGAGAGACACATACTCAACATGGAAACCTCCAAGCCCAAAGTGAAAAGTAAACTAAGCTAATGGAGCAGTGGGAGTAAAAAAGGGAAGAATTGATGTGGGGCAGGTGGGAGAGGGATGCAAGAAGGCTTCCTAAAAGAAGTGAGTTTTGAACTATCTAGAAAGATGACTAAGCACTCACCAGTCTAATAAAATGGGAAAAGCACTGGAGGCCCAGGGAGCAGCATGTGCCAAGACCCAGGAGGAGGACGAGCCCAGACTTTGGGGTAAGTAGTGCACAGTGTCTGATCTACTCAGTTTGTTTCCTTCCATCTGCTCTCCCTCCCTTTCTCCCTCTCTCCTTTCTATTTTCTTTCCTGAGAAACAGTTGCCATTGAGTCAGTTCCTACTCGT